TTATTATTATGGGGTATATTTCCAGTATGGATACCGATTTATTTTTGGCAAGAAGATCTATTAGTATCATTATCAATAAATATGCTTCGTTATGTTATGTCATTACATCATGCTTGGTTAGTAAATTCAGCTGCTCATTATTATGGTTATCGATATTATGATCGTCAAATACGACCACGTGAAAATATATTTGTTACATATTTAACATATGGTGAAGGTTATCATAATTATCATCATGTTTTTCCATGGGATTATTCTGCTAGTGAATATGGTTGGAATCAATGTTTCAATGTAACAACAGCATTAATTGATTTTTGTGCAACAATTGGATTAGCATATGATCGACGTATTGTTACAAAATCAATAATCCAAGATAGAATTGATCGTACAGGTGAAAAAATTATTGATGGTTATGATGAAAATAATAATAATAATAATGGTGAACAAAAAAGAAAACCAGAATCAGTTATTATTGATACTATAATTGGTTTTTTACTTGTATCATGGCCATTTATTTTAAAAATTTGTTTTTTCAATGTTTAAAATGATTAGGTTGGTCATTCGAATGACACATTGATAACACACACACAATCTAAAGTCATAATAATAATAATAAAAAACTTCCGTGTGATGTTTTCCGCTAATATAAAATGTCTATAAAATCTATAAAAGTAGATTGCATTTTCAAACATTTTTTTTCCTTAATTCCTATTACAAAAGAATGGCAATCCATAAAAGTGATCAAAAACAATTTATTGTTACGGAAGAATTTTGTGATGAAGATTTTGATCGACCTGATGTTCCTGATTGGTTTCGTAATAAGATTATTGCTGTTGAAAATGATAATGACCGGAAAAAAGTGACCACAAAACCTGATCTGATAACTACGATGCAAAATGGTTGCAAAAATAAACCACCATACAAAACTATTATCGTATGGCGTAATGTAATTGCTATGATTGTTTTACATTTGGCTGCTTTGTATGGAATTTATTTGGCTATATGGAATGCACGTTCGAAAACAATTGCCTGGTCTTGTTTGATGGCTGTTGTTGGTGGTCTGGGTGTATTGGCCGGTTCACATCGTTTATGGACACATCGTTCATATAAAGCAAGATGGCCATTACGATTATTATTGATGATAGCCCAGACGATTGCTTTGCAAAATGATATCTATGAATGGTGTCGTGATCATCGTGTTCATCATAAATATTCCGATACGGATGCTGATCCACATAATTCACGACGTGGATTTTTTTTCTCTCATATGGGTTGGTTATTATGTCGTAAACATCCGGATGTAATTGCGAAAGGTTCTACAATCGATATGTCCGATGTTTGGGCTGATCCTATTGTACGATTTCAACGACGATTTTATATTCCATTGGTGTTATTATTATGGGGTATATTTCCAGTATGGATACCTGTCCATTATTGGAATGAAAATCTTGAGGTAGCTATTATGGCCAATGCATTACGTTATGTAATGTTATTACATCAAGCATGGTCAGTAAATTCAGCTGCACATCTTTTTGGTTATCGTTTTTATGAACAATCTATTGAACCACGAGAAAATCGTTGGGTAGTTTATCTTAGTTTAGGTGAAGGATATCATAATTATCATCATACATTTCCATGGGATTATTCAGCAAGTGAACATGGATGGCGTGATAATTTTAATGTAACAACGGCATTCATTGATCTGGCTGCATGGCTTGGCTTGGCTTATGATCGAAGAATCGTATCACGAACAGTGATTGAAAAACGAATTTGCCGAACTGGTGATAATCATCATCGAACCACCACGTGGATGTTGGACAAAAACCAACGGAAACCAGTTTCCTTTGTTTTGGATTTGATTGCCGGTATTTTAATTTCGACAGCATTAATTTTCCTTATACTCATCCTAAGATATATTTTACGTTAGTCAAATAAAAACATGAAAGAAAAAATGAATAAAAATAATAACTTCCTTCTTGACTTCTTGTGAAAGCAATAATATAAGGAAAAAAAACCAGCTAACTAAATAAATGAATTTCCAAAATAATGTCTTTTACTTCAGTTTTTGAAAACAAATAAATCACTTTAGTCAAGAAGAAAAAAAGTGCAAAAATGACTGACTGACTCACTTATTGAATGACTAATTGGTTGATTACACCAAGGCCGACTATTTGTACATAGACGACAAAAAACATATCATTATCATCACTATCATCATCGTCAATCGTTGCAATTAGTCCAATTTTTTTTCGTTAACGGTTATCGTCGAATGTCGGGCAAAATGTGTATTAAAAGTGAGAAAAAAAGAACTGTATCGATCGATTATTGTTGTTATGGGGGCCAACCCGAAAAACAATATTCATAACTGACTTAGATGTCAATCCAAACGGATCGGAAAAAATAAAACAACAACCATAACGAAAAAATCCATAACAATCATGATGAAAAATATTCAACAAAAACGACAACAAAATGGTAACAACAAAAACGACGATAATAATAATAATAACGATTCGTTGATTGATCAACGATCCAGTAGCCAAGAATTTATTATAAGTGATCGATTTGATGATCAAGATTTTCATCGACCTGATGTACCTGATTGGTATTTTCATCGATATCAAACAAAATCCACCGTCGACGGCAGTGACGAAAATGAAAAAAAGTTTTTCGACGAAAAAATTTCGCAACAAAACAAATCGGAAAAACCGTTTAAAGCACCGATTGTATGGCGAAATGTTTTCGCTATGATTGTTCTACATTCGTTGGGTGCGTATGGATTTTATGTTGGTCTTAGACAAGCACGTTGGCAATCGCTGGTATGGTCATGGTTAATTAGTGCAGTTGGATCGTTTGGTGTATTGGCTGGTGCACACCGGTTATGGACACATCGATCATATAAAGCACATTGGTCATTACGTGTTGTCCTTATGATTCTTCATACGGTCTGTCTACAGGTTGGTTTTTGTTTGAATTTCATTATTTTCACTAATCTACAATCCATCAATCTAGAATGATCTTTATGAATGGTGTCGTGATCATCGTACACATCATAAATATTCGGAAACTGATGCTGATCCACATAATTCTCGACGGGGATTTTTTTTTGCTCATATGGGTTGGCTGCTTTGTCGTAAACATCCGGATGTAAAAGCAAAAGGTTCACTTATTGATATGTCCGATGTTTGGGCTGATCCTGTTGTACGATTTCAACGTCGTTTTTATATCCCGCTAGCATTACTACTTTGGGGTATCGTACCGGTATTAATACCAGTTTATGGTTGGGGTGAAGATTTTTGGCTTGCTGTTATGGGTAATTTTTTCCGTTATGTAATGTCATTACATCATACATGGACAGTAAATTCATGGGCACATATGTATGGTTATCAATTTTTTGATCAATCAGTACAACCACGTGAAAATTATCTGGTTACATACTTAACGTATGGTGAAGGTTATCATAATTATCATCATGTTTTTCCATGGGATTATTCTGCTAGTGAACATGGTTGGCGTCATTGTTTTAGTCCAGCTACTGCATTTATTGATTTTTGTGCATGGTTAGGCCTTGCTTATGATCGTCGTATTGTATCGCGGACACTTATTCAACAACGAAGTCAAAGATGTGGTGATATTCAAACTGTACCTTCATTTATGGATAAAAAACGAAAACCAAAACGGATAATGATCGAATATTTGTTGGGTATGATAGCAACTACATGGCCTTTGATTGTTTTTCTTGTATTACGTATGATTATTCAATCATATTAAAATTTAAGATTTTAAAAAATTAAATAAAATTGAAATTTAGGCTTTCAATTAGAAACTAAAATGTATAAAGGGGAAGTTTAGCTGGTGTGCTTCCGGATATACACAAACCATGTATACCAAACGATTATCATCATTAATATATGATTTGATATCAAATCAATCAGGATTCCGATCATCATGGCGATCATGTTTGTGTGATATGAAATCATTTGATGTCCATTGAGATTCAAGAATTTAGGAATTTGAATTAAAAATGTTTATGTGTGTAGTTTATGCGTGATAAAGATGTCTATATAGTGAAAGTGATATAGTGATATAATGACTATGTTGATGAAAAAACAGTGGCAGTGGTGGTTCAACAACGTTTACCGATCAAGTTGACATTGTGCTAAAGTAAACGACTGACTGAATGTGTGTATAGCAAAAAAAAACTAAATATTGTTACTATGGATGTTGATGATGTTGTTGGCTTGGCGCCACTCGATTCTATCATCATCATCATCACATGCCCAAAAAAGCATCTGATGATGATGATGAGCAAATGAGATTAACTTGACCGTCGTTAATTCATTGATCAGTTTTGTTTGTCATTTTGACGGTGGTGGTGTTGAACTTTAGTGTCTGTAGTGATCTTTTTGGAAATTTTTTTTGGGTAAGTTGTTTTTTGGACTTTGACATAGACACAGACACAGGACACCTGAACGATAATGTGTATCGAAATGAAAGCCAAACCATTGTTCAAATGGATAAGCAAAAGCAAACAATTTTCATTTGAATGAAATTGATCTTCACGAATGAATAGAGACAAAAATATTGCTTTGTTAGCACAGTGTTAGTTTGCAATGTGGCAAAGTCCTAACCAAAAAAAAAAATGTTCAGAATGTTATATTTAAAAAACACGAGTCGTTGGTTGAATTCATTAATTTCATTTCGTTGCTTTTTTTCGAACTGTTTGTCTTGATTTCAGTTGATTGAATACTGCCAACAAAATGTTTCGTTCAGCATTGAAAATTGGTTTGATTGGATTCAGTCGTCAACAATCATCGAAAATTGGCAAAAATAATGGCTTAATGATGATGATGATTCAAAGTAAAGTATTCCCAATGTTATGTCTTGAATTAATATGATTGATGTGTCATATAGGTCGATGGATTGCCGATACACGATTGGAATCGAATGCAGCCGTTTTGGCCAATTATAGATCATTAAAACAACCGGATAATGCTGTTATTGCTGAATACGTTTGGATTGATGGTTCAGGCGAGAATGTTCGTAGCAAAGGACGTACGCTGAATTTTGTTCCAAAAACAGTTCAAGAATTACCACGTTGGAATTTTGATGGTAGTTCCACTGGACAATCAGTAGGCAAAAATTCCGATATTTATTTGAAACCGGTTCGTATTTATCCTGATCCAATGCGACAAGGTCAAAATATATTGGTTCTTTGCGAAACAATCAACTATGATAATACACCACATGTGACCAACAAACGTCATACTTGTGTTCAAGCATTGGAAAAAGCAGCAGCTGAAGAACCAACATTCGGCTTAGAGCAAGAATATTCATTGCTCGATGGTAATGAACCGAATAAAATGCTTGGTTGGCCAACGGGTGGCTTTCCTGCACCTCAAGGACCATATTATTGTGGTGTAGGTGCAGGTAAAGCATTCGGAAGAGATGTTATCGAAGCTCATTATCGTGCTTGTCTTTATTCAAACATTGAGATTAGTGGCGTGAATGCTGAAGTAATGGCTTCACAATGGGAATTTCAAGTTGGTCCAACAATCGGTGTACAAGCAGCTGATGATCTATGGATGGCTCGTTATTTATTGCATCGAATTGCCGAAGAATTCAACATTGGCGTTACGTTTGATCCAAAACCAATGACCGGTGATTGGAATGGTGCCGGTTGTCATGCTAATTTTTCGACGATAGCAATGTCATCACCTGGTGGAATGAAAGTAATCGAAGCAGCAATGGCAAAATTAGCCAAAAATCATCATAAACACATTACCAATTATGATCCAAAAGGTGGCCAAGATAATACTCGACGATTGACTGGTCAACATGAAACATCATCGATGGAAAAATTTAGCTATGGTGTTGCGAATCGTGGTGCATCGGTACGAATTCCACGTAGTGTTGCCGATAAAGGTTATGGTTATCTTGAAGATCGACGACCAGCATCAAATATGGACCCTTATGTTGTTTGTGAATTATTGGTTCGAACAATTTGTTTAGACGAGTAATCTTTCCCGAGATATCCTCTCGTTTGTTTGTTTTTCTATAGGCTTTAATCATATATAAAATTCATATTAATATTGTTAGCTTTTTATCGATCGATTAATTATCAACAACAAAACGCACCAATAGTCCGGAAAAATATGTCATTCCTTAATATCTTGATGTTGCTGTTGTTAATTTTGATGGATTTTTAATTAAAAAACAAAAAAAATTTCACAGTTTGTCGCGAACATCAAAAAAAAAATATAACAACCTTGAACATCAACCGATGCATTCGATTGTTGCTTTTGCGAAATTGATGATATCTAATTAATTTCATAATTATCAATTAATTATCAGGTTTGGTTATGTAACACCTTTCAAGGACATTGTTGTTGATTTGACAAAAATTGTTGAAAATTTTCGAACGAAGAAAAAAAAATCGAATTTGCAAATTCGAAGAATCAATGTTTACCATACACAGAGTACGTACACGAATCTCAAAAAAAAAAACATTCGAAACTGTCAACATGCATGCAGATGCAATATTGACATTAAAAAATTATTGCATACCATTTTTTTTTGAGTAAAACAAATCCGTTGTATAATAATAATAATAATAATGGATTAATATCAACAAACTTGGAATAATTATTTTAAAATAATTATGGAAATTGGTAAGAAAAAGTTTCGATCCATCTTAAAACAAGTGGTAAGTTTGTTTTGTTTGTTTGTTTGTTGTTGATCATGATTGAACAACTAAATTGAAAACAAAAAAATCATTTTTATTTTTTAATAGCAAAGTTCAACCGAAGTTTTGTCACCAAAATCATCGACTTTATCACCACAAAATAGTGTTTGCAATAATGATGATCAAGGAAAACCGACATTAGATTTATCGGCTGCAATCGAATATAATTATTGTTTGATAAATTCATATGTACAGGAAAGAAGTCAACGTACATTGTCACCTTATGAAGAGATAGCCAAAACATTTACCGATGCCGATGATGAAGATCGTATTATTGAATCGATCGGAGCGGAATTTTTTCTCGATCCAAATCAAAATGCTGACCATGTTGATGATGATAATAATGAAATAGTTGAACAGGATAATGGTCAGGCTAGAATAATGGAACAATGTGTTCTAGCAAAATTACCTTCACTTGATCATTCCATGGAATTACTTAACTATATTGAAACGGAAAAAAAGAAACTAACACGTCAACAGACAATCGTATCAAAACGATTGACCCAAATGATATTGGCCAACGATAGCCACTTTCAATCAGAATTAATTCGTGTCCGATGTATTGAACAGGATTTAGCATCAGCCATCAGAATTTGTGCTGATGGTCGTCGAGCATTCGGTGAATCAAAGCGTGATTTTACCGAAACCAGTATGACAATTATCGATAATCATCGACAACGAGAAACAATTGTCCAGATTATTGATTGTTTACAAACAATCAAACGATTAAAACAAACAGTCGAACGTATTGGTTATATGCTTGAATACGAGAAGAATTTTGCTACTGCCATTAATTTATTAAGTGAACAATTAGAGATGCTTGAAATACTTTCGGAAAAATATGGTTGTGTAGCTGAAATGCAAGATCGATTATTAGCTGCTATTCAATTGGTTGGTGATCAAATGGATGCTGTATTGGGTAAAATGTGTGATCGATTTTGTTTTCGAACATATCAACAACTGGCCCAAGCATATGCTCAGCTTGATAAAACAGAATTTTCTCTACAACAATTACAACTTTATTTTGCCAATACAATTCATGACAAAGCTTTTAGTATTGTTCTTGGTTATGTTAAACTTTTTTCACCTGATCATCATTCATCGAACGATGCTCAATCTAGCTTTAAAAGCAAACGATTGATTGAACTTTGTCAACATCTGAATCCAGAATCTTTTCTACAATGTTTAGTCGATTTATGTCGTGCTCTATGGGATGTAATGGCCAATTATCACCAATGTTTAACATTCTATCAACGTCAAAAACATAAACCATCCGCTTCGTTAACCAAAGAAGAAATAGATTTTGCAATCAAAAAACTTTCATATGGTGCATTAAGAATTTGGTCAGATGTTCAACACAAAATACGAACTCTTCTTTCTAGTGTAAAATTTGTCCAACAACCGTCCGAAATTCAATCAACCAATCAATCATTGGAACAAAATTCAGATCATCACCATCAAGATCAATTATTGTTTAGCTTTGAAGAATTTATCAAAATTTTGACCGTATCCGAACGAATGATTGAGATTGGTGAACAATTCTGTCAATTGTATCAGGCGGAAAATGATTCGAACGTGGAAAATAATAATAATGATGAAAATCAACAACGATCGCACAGTCCAACCTTGGAATTGCAAAATACATTATATCAACAAACAAGAGCTTACATTCAATCCTATCATCAGGTATCGATGTTTGAATTGAAAATTTTTCTTGAAAATGAAATCTGGACACGTTGCCCTATCGAAACCTGTGATGAATTTGAATTGATTGCAAATCTACATGAATTTTCATTCATCAAGCAAAGATTGTTACGAATGAAAGCAAACGAAGGCAAATATTCGAAAACAAAAAAAGATATTCAAACGGCTAAAGTCAATACATTGTTGTTGTCGCCTGTTGCTTCTGGTGCAAATAGAGAACGTCGTTATTTTACCGATTTAAATCCAAATGATGATGTCGATGATGATGATGATAATGAAATGGTTTTGTCCACTGTATCGCCTTTCGATGAGCTAATTACTCGTGATTCAATCGTTTCACAGCAAACATTCGATTTGGATTCGGACAGCGATGATGACAGCGATCAATCTACTACGAATGCGATTGTGTCCAGCTCCACTATGGAGATAGTGACAACCAACACAGCATTGAATGTTGTTCGATTGATGGGTCGTTATATGAACATAATGTTTTTGCTACGACCGATTTCGCATGATATCATCAAAGCTTTACTTGAACTTTTTGATTATTATTTCTATTCGGTCTATCATTTTTTTGCCGAAGATGCATTACCGGTACCGTGGCTTGCTCATACATTAACAAATTCAAATCAACAATCATCATCGAACAACATAGGTTTGCAGCAACAATCAAATCGATTGCAGCTTAATCATAAATTCTCTTCGTTTATCAAACGTATCAATGAAAGTTTGATTTTGAATGAAGAAACTGGTTCGTCATCATCCAACACTACATCTCCGTCGAAAGTTCCTGCTACTTGTCTATCATCATCATCATCATCGCCATCATCAAAAATGCCTAAATATCCATGTCCTGCTCTTCCGGACTATGTGCCCATTGAATCGGCTGATCGACACTATGCATTGGTTGAACGTATTATGGCCATTCAATCTATGTAAGAATAAGGGATATGATTGATTGTAATGAATTGATTGAATAATTTTCTCTTTGTTTACCACTTACAAGGATATTTATTGCCCGTCAATTTTATCATCTTTGTCCATTGCTATTGGAATTTTTACGGTCCAGCCCAGATCCAAACGAATCTAATGTGGAAACGAATCAAAAATCAGAAGATGGATTCAAAAGTCTTCAATTCTATCATGACAAGGTAAGCTTTTTTTTGTTTTGTTTGACTGATGATGATTGGTTGATTAAACTTACGATCTATAGATGTGTTCGAGCGTTGCAAGTTTGCAGTATCAATGTTTATACGCTGTAGCCACCAAATTGTTACCCTATGAAACGATAGTCAAGCAGATGCAACAAACTCGTTGGGATCTGAAAGAGATACCATCTATGCATTCGACATATGTTAATGTTATTATTGATGGATTGAGCCGTTTTGATGTTTCCTATCGCCAATTGCTGCAATCGCATGATTTGTCCTTTCTTGCCGTCATTCCTGATAGTTCCATCGGTGATGATTTGTTGGACGATATGCCATTGATCAAATTGGAAAACTTGTCTCGACGAATTCCGATCACTATTTGGGAATGTCTGTTACGTGCCTCAAATCGAACTTTTATCGAAGGTTTTTCCACCGTCCGCAAATGTACGAACGAAGGTCGAGCTTTAATGCAATTGGATTACGAACAATTTCTGTCGCATATGGAAAAGCTAATGACATCATATTACAATCAACAAGAAAGATCAACTGGAACAAGCAAAAGCAATCTCAAATGCTATCTAGCCAATGAACGGCTAAACGTGGAAGAATTTATCAAAGCTTTTTATATTACCGAATCTACATTTACCGAATGGATACGCCAAAAAACCAATGTCTACACTGGCAAGCAAATTGTATCGCTTATCAATTGCATTGCTGCTGATAACAAAAAGTTACGGACTTCTTTGCTTTCGGCCATCGATGCTTCATCACTTGATCAACCTTTGCAATCGACCAATCTTGATATTACTCAATAGATCATTTCTATCAATGTTTGTTTTTTTAAAATCTTTGTATAAATATCATTCCGGTGTTCAGAAATTTACGCGCTATAATTTTTTTTCGAATTTTTAACATCATAATCGATATATTTATCGAATCGATAGTGATGAACGATTCAAAGAGACAGGTGAATTTTTCATTTGGAACATGCGCAATTCGAATTATGAGCAAAAGCAATTTCATTTTGTTCAGCTAACATATAATATTGTTGAGTTCTTGTGATTTGGATTGGATGATTTGACGATTGAATGATTGTCATTTACTTTTGTTTAGCTTGTTTCTCTTGTGTTTTGTAAAACAATTGTCTGCGGATATATAATACGTCATTTACAAGAATCATTTGATTCATCGTCTGTTAAGTTGAACGCAGTAGCAGCAGCAGTAGCATTATTAACATTATTAGTATTCGATGGTCAAATCTTAACCGTATTTGGCAATTCGTTTCCCTAAATGATATAACACTGTTCCGATTAGATTCGTTTAAAGAATCGGGAACTTTTTTGTGAAACGATATAGTGTTTTTATATTATTGTCTGCGTTCGATACAATGAATTCACAAATGCAAATCATTCTGAACGGTATGTGATTTTTCTTGAATATGATGTTAGGAAAGATTAATTACTTGGATTATCATTATTTTGTTACTTATAGCACACAACCATCCGACCGAAAAACAAGGTCGAACTATAGCTATGAATATTGGAAATATGAGCAGCAGTAAAATGTCTGAACGGAAATTTAGCGTCTATGAAAATAATCATCGAGCCGATAAAGATAGTGATCCAATTGAATTAAGTATTGCTTTGGAACAAGTATTTGATAAAGGTGCTTTTGGTCATGTTCGTACTGCTTTCATAAAAGGTGAAAAAGTAGCCATAAAACATGTTCTACAAGATAAACGTTACCGTAATCGTGAATTACCATTGATGAAACAGCTTAATCATCGAAACATAGTTACACTGCTATATTATTTTTATCATACTGAATATGATCATCTTAAGGTATGTTATGATTTTTATTATTTATTTTTTCATTGAGTTGATTCGCATCACTATTTGATTAAATACAGAATTCGAATATATTTTTGAATCTGGTCATGGAATATATACCGTCCAATTTGAACATGTTAATCCAGAAGAATAATAAAATTCGAAAAAATTCTCGTTTATCACTTCCACATGGAGATCTTTGTTCATTATCTTCTGTACCTGCCACCAATCTATTGACAATCAAATTATGTATGTATCAAATATTTCGTGGTCTAGCCTACATTCATTCGCAAGGTATCTGTCATCGTGATATCAAACCAAACAATCTTCTTTTCAATCCTGAAACGGGTGTGCTCAAGATATGCGATTTTGGAAGGTAAGTGTTGCATAAACATTATTTGTTTTCCTAATTCGATAATTTTCAGTGCCAAACATTTACGTCGTGGCGATTCTCATGTATCATATATTTGTGCTCGTTTCTATCGAGCTCCAGAATTACTGTTCGGTGCTACCGACTATACTGAAAAGATAGGTTTGTATTTGGGTTGAGATAATATCGATAAAAACGATATGATTATTTTGATGCTTTTTTCATTACTTACACAGATCTTTGGTCGACTGGTGTTGTCTTTTCTGAACTGTTACTTGGTCAGCCAATCTTTTACGAACAAAGTGGTCTGGATCAATTGGTTTGTATTATATCGAAACTAGGCACGCCGACCAAAGAACAGATTTTAGCCATGAATCCTAAATATGCACGTTATCAGTTTCCTCAGGTGTATCCTCGATCCTGGCAGCTATTGTTTCCTTGTGCTCCGACTGATGCCCTAGATCTCATATCGAAACTGTTTGCATACGATCCTTCACATCGAATTGCACCATTAAATGCTTGTGCACATCAATTTTTCGATGAACTTCGTGATCCAAACAAAAAATGGTCCAATCACGATCTACCACCATTATTTGATTTCACTCAGCAAGAGTTACGTATCGATTCTCGAATCAACAATCGTCTTTCTTGTTACAAATCCAAAACAAACACTAACATTGCCTATCTACAGCAACCACCAAGGATGTTTACTTCGAATCCAAATCCGGCAATCACTGGTGGTGGTCCATCAACAACAACAACTTTACATCTTGGACCATACATGCAACCAAAACATGTTGTCGATCATTTTGCATCCAGTCAACAACAATCATTGATTATAGAACCATCGCCAGGAACGCAGGTACCACAACGTTGTGATGATGATTAAAAATGTCTGTACATAGAACATTGTTGTCAGTATCGTTTGCCCTTGTATGCTTTCGGGTTTTTATTTCCTTTCTCTTTTTTTCAATATTGATGAAATTAATAAATATATCGCGCACATCTATCTATCTTAACCCGATTTGAATCTAGCTAAAATGAAATTCCTATTTTTACCTCCAACTTTGTATTATTGATGTTTTGCTTTTTCATTTCGATGTGAAGATTGTAATTTTTTTTGTTGAACATCATTTTGATTAATGGTCTACGAACTACTTAATTGAAACGATCGAAACACATTCATTGCTAGTGAAAGTTGGATGGTGGTGGGAACATTCCTAACCTTAGTGTTGATGTTGTTGGTGGTGACCTTTTGATCTTTGACCTAGTTTTTTGGTGAATCACTTTAGTGAAAATGAATGATGACATTATTGCCATTGGAAAAACGAAAAAAAAACCTGTCCCATAAATGGTCGAATTCTTGAATCTAATGAGCAATTTATCATTAATGATCAGTCAAGCAGGATAGTTGTATGAATTTTTTTAAAATGTTCGAATCAGATAAAACAGTGATCAAGACTAGACACTTATGATTATTATTATTTTTTTTTTAAATTCAGGTAAGAAAAATTCGTTATATAAGCGACAGGTGTAGGTCATTTTTTGGTCATTTCATTTTCAATTCAGTGTTTCGAAGTTTGTTTGTGTGAATCATTCGATATTTGTTCAGTTTGTGTGTAAAGTGAATTGCATTTTTTCATTTCGAAGATGAGATTGTCCGTACGTATTTTTTTCAAATGAATGTTATTGTTAAGATGATTGTCATTTTGTTGTTGTTGATTAGCGAGTAGAAAGTAGTATCATCATGCAAACAATTCTATTATTGTTGTTCATCACAATTATGGCAATTCCGGCAATGTCTTTTTCATTAGGTTCATTGTTTTCAAGTCGAGTACCAGCAGCAGGATATGTACGTACAAAAGCCTATGTAGAAGAATCACCTGAAATTGGTTTTGGTTTCAACAAAGTACCGGTTATGGTTCGTGTTCCGACCATTGTTTTTCGTCGAAAAAAAACATTGGTAACACGTCCGGTTGCAGTATCTGTATGTCAAGGTTGTAGTGATGGCCAGGTACAGATGCAAGTTGCACAAAAACCTGTGACAAATAGTGGTCCTTATCCACCGATCAAAGGTGTTCGAACTGGACCATATACATCGAATGTCGTATTTCCCGAAAATAACTATGAACAATATGGCAACGATGATTATTCACAATGAAATAAATAAATATTGGGCGTCTGGTTTCTGGCATTTCAAACATTTCAATAATTTTTTTTTTTTTTTTTTTTTTTTTTTTAAAATTTTTGATCGAAAAAAAAAAATTTTTTTTAAAAAAAATATTTTATTCGT